GTGCAATGGTAATGCCCACATTATGATAGCTCTTCTAATCTCAATAATCTAACCAAGATAATTCCTCATGTGGATGACCAGAGATGAAACTAATGAAGATAATTATTCATATGTATGTGTTGTACGTGTAGAGGCTTGTTTCCTAGATGGCTATAGATCCTTTCAAACTAATCAATATCAACCATCGTAGGGATTGATCCAATAAGAAGACATTACAATTCTAAACATACATAAATTGAAAATAGCTAAGTTTAATTTCATGAAACACAAACCACTAGACATAAAGACACAGATTAATGTAGTCACAATGGTAGTGTAGCAACATCCACCTCTCACCAACGGATAGGCCGTCTCAGTTCCCATCCACATACCAGACAGAGAAATGTTAGGATTAAATGACATTTTAAATCAAATAATCTCAACAAAATCTATAGATATTCCATTAAAAAACTCTATGATATTCTCAGCATCCCACAGAACTTTCTCTAAAATAGATCATATATTGCACACAAAATAGTTGTAGCAAATATAGAACACTTAAAATAATTCACCAAGTGAATAATTCATTTTATTCTATTTGATCATAGGGATTTAAGGCTATACATCAACAGTAAGAATTATGGAGCAAACAACACATGATTGAGCAATAAATGGATCATTGAAGAAATCAAGAAGGAAACAGCAACAAAAATATCTCTGGAATCAGATTATAATGAAAACATAACATACCAAAACCTGTGGGATACAGCAAAAATAGGACAGAGGGAAGCTTAGAGTTCTAAATGTCTACACAGAAATCAGAGAGATCTCAAATAAAAAATGTCATAATACATCTTTTTTGGAAAAGTGCGAACAAGCCAAACTCCAAATCAGTAGATCAAAAGACATAATTAATGGAAGGGCAGAAATGAATGAAGTAGACTCTTGCAATTACTACTTAACCAAGAAGGGAGAAAATACAAATATATAAGATTGGACAAAGCTATCCAACTGATGTAATCTATTTGACTAGATTTATGGAATATTAGCTCAGTAACACTACAGTATACATTCTGCTTAATCGCACATGTGTTGAGCCACAATAAAATATTAATGACAAATATCACACACACACACACACACACACCTACCTCTAAAAATATCTTGTACATGTAGTTTCTATGTTTAGGACTAAACTAGAAACCAACAGTAAAACACATTTAGAAAATGAGTAATTTCTGCTTAAAGATAAGTAACATATTTAAAAACAAGTGATAATGACAATATGATACCTAAAAATATGTGGTTAGCTGGGCAGTGATGGCACATGCCAGCACTCAGGAGGCAAAGGCAAGCAGATTTCTGTGAGTTCGAGACCAACCTAGTCTACAGAGCAAGCTCTAAAATAGCCAGGACTAAATAGAGAAATCCTGTCTCAATAAATAAATAAATAAATAAATAAATAAATAAATAAGTGATTAAACTAAAGAGAAATTTAAAGTGCAAAACATTTATTTCATAATATAAAAAACAACAATCTACATTTCCATATTGAGAAACTACCAAAAATAACAAATTAAAACAAAATAAATTAAAATGCCATTAATAAATAGAAGAATAAGGACAGCTGTCATGGGGAAATAGACAAAAGCATTTGAACCAAAATCCTGATCTTTGAAAATATCAGAAAATTAATAAACCCTTCACCAGAATGATCAAGAAAAAGAAATAAAAGATTCAAGTTAACAGTCTAGAAAATGAAAAGAATGATGTCTATATGTTTACAGACATCTAAAGAATAATAAAGCAATGTTATATATAGTATTATGCCAATAAATTGAAAAACTTTATAATTACAGAAACTCAGTTTTTTCAATAAAAACTTCCCATAAAGAAAACTTAAACCTGAGTTTTACAGTTAAAGCCTATCCAATATTAAAACATAATATCTATTTCCCCTAGGTTCCTTGAGAAAATGGGGGAAAGTGTTTCTCAACTCATTTTATGGGGTCAGGTTTATATCAAGAAAGACATCACATGAAAAAACAAGAGACTAACAAAAAACATGGGTTTAAATAGCCTTACAAATATTAGAAAATCAATTCCATCAATATAATTGGGATACTACATTATGATAAAGTGATATTTTTGTTCCAAGAATACTAGATAGATTTAACAAACAAAGACACTGGTTTTCATTACGTTAATATTGGTTAAAACCCCATCAGTAGATCCAGAGAACTTCAATAGCCATGCATGACTAAAACCCTCAGAACAGAGCATCCTTGACTTAATAAAATGCCATCCACATAAATTCCTCACTAACATTGTATTTAATGGTTTTTTTTTTAAATGAACATTTTTCTCTTAAGTTTGGATTAATAAAGAGATGTTGGGCATCCTCACATCTATGTAACCTTGTACCACACAGAAAAGACTAACAATAATAAAGATTGTAAATAAAAAGGGAAACTGCCTTTGTTCAAATTTGACATGGTGATCTATGTAAAACAACAACAACAACAACAACAATCCACGAAAACTCTAGAACACAAATTTATAAAAGCTCCACTAAAATTAGCAAATACTTGTAACTAGGTCCCAAAATATGAGGCATGTGTAAAGAGAAATTAGTGGGAGGCTGGAGAGTGGTTAAGGGCTAATGCCAGTCTCCCAGAGAACCTAAGTTCACTTCCTAGCACTTGTATAGGATGGCTCACAACTGTCTGTAACTCTAGCTTCAGAGGATCTGATGCTACAGGCATCCATATCCACATGCACTTGCCCACACACAGACAGATATATATACATAATTAAAAATGATAATAATAATTATCTTTAAAAATTGAGTTACATAATGATAATAATTTAAGTTGGAAAATAAAGTTTTCAAGCATGCAGTTGTTGTGTAGAAGTCTCCTGAGATTAAGGCCTTCTACTATGGAGAGAAATTTCTCACAACGGGAAATTAATGGAAAGGTGGAGCAATAGCATGTTCTAAGGGATGAGAAGTACCCCAGGAAGCTCCTTAAACCAGGAAGTAAACACCCCGATAACTTGAGAAGTCCCTGCCTTCCGCAAGGCCACATAAACTGTAAGGCCACCTGAATCACTTTCAGATGAGCCAGGGCACAAAGCCTCAGGCCAGCTACCTGGGAGAGGCAGAGACCAGCCAATCATCTTGAAAATATCAATAACGACCAACTTAGCCACTGCGAAAGGACTCTCCAGACTACTGAGCTGCCCGCAGGCTGTGCAGTGTGCTCTGGGTTTCCAGCTTTTGAGAACTGTCACCCATGCTGGGCTGGGCTTTGGTGAAGCAGTTATCTTTGAGTAGTCCCTGCTCCTGTATGTAGTCCCTCGCCCATATTCCTGTAAGTAACGCTGATAAAAACGGTTCCCCCAAATGGATTTGGTAGTGTCTATCTCTGGTCTGTTCTCTGTTCCCTATATGTAGTGAGTAGATATGTGTTCACATCTCATCAGGAATAGTGTCACTCAACAACACATTTTTATTAGATATATAGTATGTTATAGCTCTGGGATTTATTTATCACATAACTGAGTTTATACTTCATTACCAACAGCTCTCCATCTGTTACTCTCCTTCTAAGACCGACTGTAATCAGACATGTATGTGTCTATGAGATTTTAGAACGTACATATAAATGATGTGAAGAGCTAACTCTGTCTGTGTTTGGTTTATGTCATTTTCCAAAATGTCCTTTGAGTTTGTTTATGCCATAGCAGGATTTCCTTTTTTATCTGTTTTTCCAATTTTAAAATATAATTACAGAATTCCACCCACTTCCTTCCAACCCCCTCATGTCCCCCACTCCCTTTCAAATTCATGCCTTTCTATTATTTAATTATTATTATTGCTACACATATATACAAATAAATATATAAACGCAACCAGCTTAGTTTGTATAGTGTTGCTTGTATGTGTATTTTAGGGATGATAACTTGGGATTAGATGATCATTTAGTGTATCCATCTGTGGAGAAGATGGATCCTCCCTCTCATGGCAGCTTTTAATTGCTTATAGCTTTTAATCTAAGGGCAAGGCTTTGGGTTACTTCTTTCATCTATGTTGGGATGTCAACAGGTATTATCATTGTTCAGGTCTTGTTTGAGCAGCCATATTGTACTTTTTCATTTTGAATTATGTGTTTATGTGTGTTTTGTATGGGTCTGTGAATGTAGTGCAGTACCCCAAGACTCAAGAAGGTGTTAGATCCCATGGAACTGGAGGTACAGGCAGTAATTAGCTGCCCAACACTGGTGCTGAGACCTGAACCTTAAAAATGAAATGAAGGGAGTTGGTTCCATGGTTAAAAACCATGCACTGCTCTTGCAGAGGACCTGGGTTCAGGTCTCAGGCAGCTGTGAATAATTCTGTAATGAACATGGAGTATATTTATATCTTTGAGATAATGACATGTACCTGCATGCACACACACACACACACACACACGTACACATATACACACATGCACATACACAGAAGCTTTATTTATAATAGTAAGACTATAAATATGTTTCAAATATCCATCAACAATTGAACAAATGTCATATTAATATTAAAATTATATTTATGCATTATTATAACATGCATACCATACAGATATGAAAAATAAAAATTAAATTAAAAATAGATCAATGTTTGCCTGAGACCAAGGTTGGGATTATGGAACTAAACTCTAAAGAATACTGAAGGAAATTCAACTGCAAAAGACAATAAATTTTAGAATCATAGAAATGTTTTCACTTTGGTTGTAGCATTTATATGATCATTAATAATATTCAAACTATATAGTTAATCATTATGTATTCTATTCTACATAAGCTATACTTCAATAGTATTGAGTTAAAAATCAAACAACACAGTGAAGTGTAAGCTATAAGCTTCTAATTTTTCTGCTTAGTATTTATATGTGTATGGATGCATCTTGAAACATCTTTCAGTATTAGATCCTTCACATCATTAATTAAAAAAATAATCTAGCAAAATTACTTACCAATGTAATTTTTTGACATGGAAACTTCTCTTACTTCGATATGAACAGAACCTCTTGGAATCCGCACCACTTCCATATAACCTGGAACACAGATGAATGCTGGCAATAAGCAGCTAACTAGAAAATGAGCACGTAGTAGCCATCTAGTACTAGCAATGCTTTTTATTCTTTCATTTCTTCTTTGACTTTGTACTTCATAACTGTAACTGTGTGTCTATGAAGAGAAAATGTTCAAACGGTGGGTAGGAGGGAGCTTGAGATAGAGTGTGACTTACTTTGTAGATCAAGCTGGCCATGAACTCATAGAGATCTGCCTAATTTCTTTTTTTTCTGCAATCACCTGAAGATATTTTACAGCCTTGATGTGTGTGATACTGTCCCACCTTTCTTTTCTCAGCAGGCTCTCCTTACACCACTGCTCTATGGGTTATCACAGTTTAAAGAAACATGGCTACAGTCATAGCTACCCATTGAGGCTGGGAGGACAGGATCGTCTGTCTATGCTGGGGAATTCAAAAGCAGATAGGGTCATTTCAGTGGATCCTATTTAAAAACCAAACCAAATAAAACAAACAAAAACAAAAACCCGTAGGACTGGAGGTGTAGCTCAGTGGCAGAACAATTTGCCTAGCATGGTCAAAGGCTTTTTTTCAGTCCTCAACAAACCTCCTCACAGAAAAGCTAAATGAAGTAAAATACGTTCCTTAAAATAGTTTCACAAAGCGACATTTAACATGTAAAAGACTGAAAGGATGGCCGTCTGGGAGAAGACACTGCTGGCCTACATAAAGGAAGTTTCCAGCATCTAAGAGAAGAAAAGCAAGACTCTTCACTACTGCAGATCACCAGAAGAAGAGTTTTCACCGTACTCACCTCCTCTGGGCAACGAGTCATTGAAGAACCCTTCAATGGCATCGCAGGTACTTCCATCCCCACCACAGACTCGGCACCTATCTTCCCTAGCATCAGATCCCAAAATATTATCACAGCCTACATGCTGAAAATAGAGAACAGTCAGTGTGTCAACAAGGGAAACTCTTGGAACCATAACTAATCAAATACATATAATGTAGCTATTTACTTGTATTTCCAGTAAAGGGAATCAAAATAGGAGATTTGTCTCATGTAATGTTATTCTCTAGCTAACATTTCTAAATAACTAAACAAAAAAGAAAATTGATTCCCTAGGCATATGACTATTTCTAAACTAAGTCTCTCTTTGATTGATAGATATCATTTTCTAACCCTTTAAAATATTGTAATGTTTAGTAATGGACTCTTTCTTTCACCCCCAGTCTAGAAAGTCAAGAGCTAGGAATGGCCTTCTGCAGGGCTACAATAAGGACTCTACTGAGCTCATCCTCTGTAGGGCTATAACAAAGGGTCCCACTGAGCTCATGCCCTGCAAGGATATAATACAGTTTTCAACTGATCCCTAGTGTGTGCCCTTCCTAGCCATGACCTCTTTCAGGAAATTGTTAGTGCTAGATGCCAATTATGAAGTTCATATCTGAGTAAGTTTTTAAAAATGAATACTTGTTTCTTGAGAGTCAAATTGGCATAAACAAAAAGGAGCTGTAAGCATGCAATTTAAGAACCTAAAATTCCACTTTTTAATTTTGTCTTTAATTTAAAAAATAAGGACATTTTTAGCATATATATATATATGGCATATATTTTGGTGCCTGAATTTGTACATTTGTAATTTAGGCATTGATACTAAATATAATTTTAAAATTGTCATTATATCTTGTTATCTAAAAACTGTTATAAAATATTTTACTTTAAGAAAAGTACCTATACAAATACACATAAGTAAATGCAAATCTCTTTTTCTCTCTTTACACACACATACACACACTTGCATACATACATATAAAAACATGTGTGCCCCACACACACATAAACTGGATCATTGAATCTAAAGGCAACTTATCAAAAGGAACCTGGAAATTATGAAGCTAAGCAAAACACTAGCTTTATCTCTTCTGTCTCAGTTTGTATCACTTAGTAATGTGCTTCTCTTCAGAGTAAAACAAGCGAAACAAGTTATGAGAACAGTGGTTTTGTGGCTTTTCTTATTATGATAAGATCCATGGATTTGATCCTACCCTTTCCAAGTCATCTGGCTAATGCAAAAGTAAATGCCGTAGTAAGACTGACTGCGTAATGAAAACCATCATAATGCTTCAAAAGGAGATAAAGTAGGTGGAACATAGCTATTTCACACTTTGAGAAAAAAATTATACTGTGAAATATATAAAGTCTTCCAGTAAGAACACATGGTAGCCACATGAAGAAAAGCTGAATTCTTATTCCCCCCTCTTTTTCTATTATTTTGTTTATAAACAGAACAGGAGAATAATGCAAATTAAAGACAAAAAATCTATACCCTTGGCAATTATTATAAATATAATTAAAATTCCAGGAGAAATCATCTTTTGCATTGTTCTATAATATGAATGGGTTGTTCTGGGCTCTGTGTGTGTGTGTGTGTGTGTGTTGTACTGTTGTCCTTCGCTGTATTTGCATTTATCTAAAATGTAGCTTTATAAAATTGAACATAGAACAGAACACAAGCCCCTATCCGAGAAAAACAAAAACAAAACGAAGTTCTTAAAGACGCCGAGACAAAGATTAGTGAAATCCACGCCACCTTGCATTCTCCGTTGATACAGATATCCAGCGAGTCAGCATTGCACTGGGTTCCGTCTATGACTGCAGGGGCCCGCTCAGTGTAGAAATTGTAACCTTCAGCCAGGCAGTTTAAAGCACAAGGTTTTACCCCACCTAGACAAATAAAACATAAGCAAAAAGAGTAGAGTGGTTCTCCTAAGGAAGAGTGACCCAATATTGTTTGTATCAAATTTACAGTTCATGTGTACACTGCCCCAGAGTGTACACTTTAATGTATAGACATGTATCACTTTTTAAAACGTAATGCTTATTTTATTGCATACACAACATAAAGGAGTACCTGCTGAGGGGCCTTGCACTTTAATCCTTTCAAGTGCACCCACTAAGTATTACAGTAGATCTTAGGTCAAATGCATCATAGTGGAAATCATTGAATATTTTTTCAAAGTATGAAAAGGGAAGAGTTTTTTTAAACATGAGCTAAGGGAATAAATTTTTAAGAGCTATGAATGATAACCTTTAGAACAAATAAGAATTCTGTTATATATTTTGCTAAATCCCATACAAGGACTCTGCTGTGTCAGGCAGCCAGGGATACACACTACTAAAACAAAACTACATCTGTACATGTCTTAAAAACATCATACTCAAAGGGGCTGGAGAATAGAGATATGAGATCAGCAAATCAATGATCATTAACTACAATATTATATTTATGTAATTTTTATTAGACTAATAAAATAAGACAATGTGAAATACAATATTAGATTTTAGTAATTAAAACAATATAGTATTTTTATGAAAAACATAATAATGGCCATTTTAATGGCTTAGAAATGTGGGGGGTGCACATGTGCCACAGTATATGTGTGTGTAGGTCAAAGGGAAACTCATGAGAGTCATTTCTCTCTTTTTACCACTTGGGTCCCAGGGATCAAACTCAGGTCATCTGGCTTGGAAACTGAGCTTTCTCGTTGCCCCAGACATGTTTATTTTAATGGTTAATATAGAAAAATAAAATCCTTGTGCCATGACTTTATAATATATTGAAAAAAGCATATATAAATGTGGTCTAACTGGAATGGAAATAGCACATGAAAAAACTATACAAATGAGTGATTACTGATTAAGGTTATGAGTTAAAATATTTTCTTTACAGCTTTATTTCCTAAGGTTTAAAACACTGGTTTTATTTCTGGTAAGGCTGACAAAATTTCTCTTTGAAGTAAAGACCATTGCTTCTAACAAAGAAAATAAAACAGATAATTAAAATTATATGACTGGGTTTCAATAAAGTTCTTAGAAACAAGGGTTCCAATGGGTGAAAGTAGGTAAAAGAAGAAAGCAAAGTGCATGCTGGGGTCAATAATAAATCAGAGCACATTCCACTAATGAGATCACTGTTATGATAAGGGTGTCCCAATATTGTCAGATTTTTTTTTAAGTCAAAATGAAAGCATAGATTCTATTCTATTTAAATGCTTCTTGTTTTTTTAGAGGCTGACAAAACGCTCTCTGTAGTATGGTTGGTACCTGATGATGGAATAGAAGCAGCCTATGTGATAATCTCTGTCTCCAAGATGGAATGATTGAAGGAGCACTGGAAATCATGAAAGTGAGAGAAACAGATGGTAGTGTGGGTTGGGAGTGGAGGTAGAGTAGCAAACCACCCCATCTGAAGTAGGACAAGCAGAACCAGGAGCCTCAACCCAAAGTGGTTGATTTTCCTATCTATTGGGGATTATTCACTGAAATAATAACCAAGTAAACCCAGAGATTTCAAGCAGGTAGGCAAATTACAACACATGAACAGAAGAAACAAGAGCAGGCAAGGATTCATGACGCCTCTAAGAGATCACAAACTCTTAATTACTAAATCTAAAGATACTGAATATAGACATGGGGATAAAAGTAAAACTACTTCTAAAAGTAATAAGTGACTTCAAGAAAACAAGCAAGAAGATGAGTCAAGAAAATCAATTCAGGATATAAGATAAGAATATTAGCAGTGTAGAAGGGAAATCTGCAACATGATTGTTAAATAAGATCCGGAAAAGAATAAATGTTAGAAAAAAAAACCTCACCAACCAAATAACACAGTGGACAGCCTCACCAATAGTCTAGCTCAAGAGAAGAAAGGCTATCAGGGATGGAAGGCAAGGCTGAGGCAATGCGATACCCCAATAGCAAACAAGAAAGAAAAACCATTATGTCTACTACATCTGAAAACTGTGGCACAAGATGAAGGGACCAAACCAAGAATGTACGTGGTCAAGGAGCCAAGATAAAAGTTTAAGTCACAGGAAACCCATTCAATAAAGTTATATCTAAAAGTTTCTCAGATTTGTGGAAAGAAATGAACATTCAAAATCAAGAGTCACTTGGAACAATAAATATGTATGACCAAGGGAGAGTCTTGCCACAACACTTTATAGTCAAAATGCTAAAACTATTAACTAAACTACTAAAAACTGTAAGGAAAAAAGCCAACAAATAAACAACATCAAAGATCTCAACAGAAACCCTAAAAGCCAGGGAAATTTCAAGCTCTGATATTAATCATTAATCAAAATTACAAATTCTTCCAAGTTATTTTATAAAATTAATGTTGAAATGAAGGTATCTCAAGATAAGCAAAAAAAAAAAAAAAAAAAAGCAATTTATCCACAACTCAGCTCTGCAGAAAATACTCAAACAAGGTGCTCAGAGGAGGAAGAAAGATTATTGTAATCATGAACAAAGAACAAATTTCATGAGAGAAATAGATTAACAAAAGGCAACTAGAAGGAAGTCAATCATGAAACACCAAGCAAATCAGCAACCCCCAACACAGAGGGAACTACAAAACACAAACAAAAAACAATAATCAAATTTAGAAAAAAGTCAACAAAATCACAGGAATTGCTACCCCCTAATAATAATAATTCTCCAATTAAAATATGAAGATTAGCATATTGGATCGAAATGCAAGATGTAATTATTTGTTGTCTATAATCGCGGGATAGAATGTAGTAGAACAGGAAGGGCTGAATGGGGAGGGAGATGAAGGGCAGGGAGGAAGAATGAGCATGGGGAGAGATTACTGACATCACTTACCTTTTCAAATGCCAGTGGCAGCATACTACTGAAAACCTTCCTAAAGCACATACATATTCATATATACAATACATTTAAAGGAGTTATACTATAATGAGGAAACAGTGTCTCCCCCAGACACCAAAGGCTATCACATGAAAAGCCCAGTGCTAGGGTGTGTTATTTACTTTTAAGTTGTTTGTCAATGAGGTCCCATAGACCCTTCAGAGATCATGACAGGCTATCGCTATTGCTCTAGATTACCCTACAGAATTTTATGGCAATATTCTAGTGCTACAAACACCATAGGGCAGGGAGAAATCAAGCTAGTACTGTCATAGAAGCTTCATTTCTACTGACCTGCTTTCATGTTAGAAAGTGCTATGTATGCTACCAGGAAAGAAAAATAAAAATAAAACTTTCCTAAATATCCACCTTGCAAGCTACAATAATGACTGACCTGGAAAGACATGCTTGCTGATGCAACATGAATATTATGAGAGTAAGCAAACTATTTTCTGATTTGACTTTAAGCCTGCACAGCAAGATGGAAAGGAAAACACAGCTAGCCATGTGTATATTATCTGATAAATCACTTCTTCAGAAATGTAAGCATGATGAAGACTTTACAAGATGTGTAAGAGCTGTGGGGCTTCATAATCACAAAACAAATCACAGAAAAAATGCCAAAGGGAGTTTTTAAAAATGAAATAAAGGGATCATAATTAGTAACATCAAAGTACAAAAACCACAGGTAAAGCTTAAGTATACTATTGAGTGCAGAATAATATTTGTACCACCATGACAGCATGCAACCACCTGTAATTCTGACATAATGGCTAGCAGGCAAAAGTATTCAAGCCATCTAGAGTTGTTACTTGTAAATAGACACTGTCGTGGTAGTTGTTACTTGTAAATAGACACTGTCTTGGTTAATCTCCATCCACTGTTTACTTGGCTGGGTTATAATCATCATGAAAGTTTGTCTCTTGGGTGGTCCAAGAAGATGTTTTCTAGAAATGTTTAACTGAGCAGGGCAGACCAGACTGAATATGGACAGCACCATGGAATGAGCTGATGTGTCAGAAAGAAGGAGAAAGCTGGGGGAATGTCAACCTTCATCTGGCTTGTGGTTTTAATAAGAATGACCCTGTAGGCTCATGTATCTGAATGCTTAGACACCAGGAAGTGTAACTCTTTCAAGATGTGGCCTTGTTGAAGGAAGTATGTCACTGTGTGTGGGGGGTTTGAGGGTTCAAAAGACCATGCCAGGCCCAGTCTCTCTCTCTGCTTCTTTCTGCCTATGAATCAGGATGCAACTCTCAGTTACTGCTCCGGCACCTGCCTGTCTGCACACTCCCCACTATGATGATAAGGGACAAATCGTCTGCAACTGTGAGCAAGCCTCTATTTAAATGCTTTCTTTTGTAAGAGGGTGCTTTGGTCATGGTGCCTCTTGACAGCAACAGAAGGTGACTAACACATCTACTTCCTAAGGACAGAATGTGCCAACTTCCACATGACCCTGCCACTGTGCTTTCCTCAAACCGCGAGCCAAAATAAATCCTTTCCTTAAATTGCTCTTATTGGGTACTTTGTGACAACAACAAGAACACTTAAAGCACACACACACATGTAAAATGTATAAATGTTGTAAAACGTGGCATTAGGAACAGAAGTCAAGAGAGTTAAAGTGTATAAATTTTCTATGTGATCAAATTTAGATTATTGGCAACTTAAAATATATCACTAATAATAAAATATTTCATGTAATATTCATGTAAAACTACAAAGCAAAAGCCTTCGTAAATACACAGAAGAAAAAATGCAAAGAAGACTTAAAAATCTATAAAACCGTCAAAATAATTGACAAATGGTGAAAGATTTTGTCACAAACATTTATTTTAAATTTAAAGCAGATGAACTTCTTTAATTAAAAGATGCATGGGAGGCTGAATGGAATTAAGACAAATTAAAAAGACTCAAGTCTATATACTGCCTACGTGTAAGCCATTTCAGATTTAGAAACACATAAACTGTAAGTGAAAACATGGAAACAGTCCATGCAAGTAGAAATC